AATCCAAGGGAGTAACTATTCATTTTTTGTTGCGTTTCCGACATTATTCGGGTCTTTCCTTCAGTAATACTCCAAACTCTGGGCTACAGCGGTAGAACAGAATTGAAATTGTAATGTATCTGAGAAGAGTTTATTTTTATAACTTTAACGCTCTAGTTACCCACTCAGTGCATTAGGTTCTATGATTGTCTTATCTGTTTCAAGTGAGAAATTGGAATAAAGAAGTGAATCTGTACTCAAAGAACAACAAGATGGTGATTTAAAAATTTTGCGACAAACAAGGACAAAAACCCTTGCGACTCAAGAGATAACGAGTGCAAGCTTCCATGCGTGGATCACACCATGTCTGCACCACGTGTATGGACGTACAAGAGGATATAGGAAATGAAAGGTCGTTAAGAGTTAGTTCCCTAAAAAGTAAAGCAAATGTGCACTGTTTTCTTGGACTGCTAGATAATTCTAGTCGACTTGGATTTACTATAAATGGAAGATCTCCGAAAGCAGTCTACTGAAAACTGTGTTTGGATAGGCATTTTAAATTAAAATATAGCTACTTTTACCATTTTTCTTCGTCAGTGGCTGTCGATGACAGTGTTTATCTGTTGTTGCCCTCGTTGTTAATTAGTTTAAGTCTATAGATAAGCAGCTGCACTAAACGGTGAGATGGTACAGTAATGTGCATTGATCTTGACCATTCGCATCTTGGACTGGTAATTTTCACAGCTAAATAAAATAAGCAGAGAGTTTTCCGGAGTGTGTTGATGATGAGTAGACTGTAGGTTTGCTTTTGAGGTTGGTTTTTCCAGTTTTATTCGTTAATACGATAATTTGAGTCCGGTTTTTTTTTTTTTTTATACGCGAAAAGCGACCCTACTAATGAAAATAAACCTTCCAATTATAGTATATGGCGGTAGAACGGCGCACCCTGGTAAGATACAAGTTATAGGTCCATGCTCTAATTGTCGTCTAAGCATCAGCTATTATTTTCTGAGTACGAGAGATTAAAGAGCCATTCAGGAAGAATACCTTGCCTAGCTCACTGCGGTGAAGGAGGTGGTGACGTTTCAATAGGAGCCTGCGGATAAATAGAAATTATTGGTTTTTTTTCGGCCTTTTTTAGTAAGACTTATTTTTTACTCCGTCATTTCTATTACGGTAAAATGATGGGCAGTTCTGTAGCCTCGTCACGTCACCGGTTAATTTTTTGCATGTGTTATCTTCATCTTCACCGGTCCTTCACAGTCACATCTATTTAAATTTTAATAAGACACTTTTGCTTTGGCTTTCTCACGCAATGCACTCTCAAAAACGGAGGGCGACTTTATTAAATTAAAAAAACTGATCTAAAATATAAGTTAAAAACCTTTAAGTGCGGAACCAATGATTAATGATAAAAAATATCAAGTTTGACCTCCTGCTGAAATTTAAGCGAAGACCGCGAAGAGTGATCTGACATACGGCTAAGTTGTATTAGCCATTTATTTTAAAGGCATTTTTTTAAGACGTTGAAAATTGAACTAACGCATTTTTTTCATAGTCCGCAATTCTTCCATCGAGAACGTCGCCAGTGTAAAGGAATACAGTGTGTAGTTGATAAATTATTAGTCCTGTTCAACTGGAAGACTGTTGAAAGGACCTCTGATAAAACAGTAACGAGAGAAGTCATTAGGATTTAGAAGTGCCTGTTTCCTTCCTTAAATGCTACCCCGATTTTTTCACGTATAAAGTAAGTAATTTTGAAGTAAAAAAGGACGGTGGTAGTCCGATGTTGATTTAAATGGATGTCTCATGCAGTTGATATTAAAATGCAACGATAAAATTCCGTATTGGGATTTAAATCAAAAAGACTATTTTCTAGCAATGTCAATGCTTCGATTTTGACTGAAGAGGTAGCCGGATTTCCTCATTTTTAGTTTTATTAAAACTAGACAAATAAAATCAGCTTCTCGTTTTTCAAGCTCAATGAAAGTACTTTTTAGGAGGACGGCGATGCAGATCTGATTGTTCAGTTTATTTTAAAATCTTAGGTTTTCATGATTTGTATAATGTTCTGTAGAGTAACATTACTGAATCCAGATACAGATGCTGCTTTGCGACACTTGATTGCTCTTGCCAAATGTTATTTTACGCTCGCGCAACTGGATTGATAAAGTACCCCTACGAAACGTCTATGCCAAAAGTTCCTTTTTTTTTTTTTTAAATCTGCCGAATGTGCTCCTCTCAAAATAAGACAGTTTCTTCAAAATTTTTTTTGAATTTTCGAGAAAGCTTTCAATCCCTGAGGTGTTCTTTTATTGCATTTCATCCATCGCATAGAAACTTAACTTCATATACATTCTAATCTGCAATTAAACAGTGCTTGCTTTTCTGAACACTAACTTTCATTGTAAAACAGATCAGTTTACCTAAGACTCAACAGCATGGCTTCTTCACTATTCGCTCTCCGTAGTTTGAATCCGTTTTCTTCTCCAATCAGGTTTCTCTGACCCTTAATGAGTTTCTAGACGTAATATTTGTTCTGAGAGTCTTCCTAAACGCAGGATATGTGACATATAGCACAAACAACTTAATAAACTCCTTCAATTCTTAGTATTAAAATCTACAAAGAGCGAGTTATGGATATATGAATTCGCTGGACTGTTCCGGTAGCCGAAGTGATGACCTAACTCAAACCTTCAGATGGTAATTATTATGCTCGATTCTGGAGATATTTTCACCGTTAATTTATTCCCTAGTTTACAAGAAGAAGACTGCTACGACACACGTTTATGCCGATACTTCCCCGTAAGAGATTAGTGAGTTGGCTGTGCATATCAAAAGTTTTACTTGGTGCATGGTAAAATTGTTAATAAAATTACGAAAGTACAACTTGTTCTGAAAGCGTAAATTCCAAAGAGGTGTTAACAAGTGTTTGAAAGCACCTAATTTAGTACTGGCATCGTCTTCTTTCTAATGTTGCTTCAGTTGTTTGTACGGCTCCCATCTGTCGTACACTTTTCGTACTTTCCTGCAACCCTGTCGCTAGGTCTCCCGATCTTACTCTCCGTGAAAAAAAAAGAAAACCTAAGAACAGCATTGGGATAATGCACTGCGCTAAGAGCACCTCCTAACACATTTCAAGAAGCGAACTGATACCCTCGAATAAAAAAAAAGACGGCACCTTCAAACCTCAGCTGCTTCTCGAGTTTAATGGGCAGGTACCAGTTCGCACGTTAACTTAGTTAAATGACCGCTTAAAATGTTTGTACGACAATTGTCAAGTATTTATCAGATAATACGTAATCCAAAACTAGGAACTTCTACAAATTACTGAAACGGTTAAAGCACAACAATAAATACAAAGAAAACGAAAGAAAACACTTGTAAAATGAAGAATACCCAAACCGCCATTTTTACCCACAGGTCGTCGTTTCTTTACTTTTTTTTTTTGTTAATATTATGTACATGGAAGCCTAAACGTCCAAGTCTCAAGTCCTATCAGAACTGAAGTAGGCATAAAAATAACCCCAAACGACGCAGAAACTACGTTTTGAGCAAAAAGTGGCAAAGCAATAATTTCTCCAACTAAATAAAAATTAGCTTCTAGAGTATAATTTAAAACAACGGTAAAAGATTTCTGGTGATAACAACAGAGTTCTAAAATACTCGTTGGAGCTCTAAAACCTCAAAACCCAAATTACAACATCTAAAAGCAGCACAGCAAAGAGAAAAATCAAATGAATTACCCGATAAATACGTGAGCAGAAAAACTTTCACTAAAAGTCAAACACTTAACCAAGAATATTACAACTAGAAACAGCAAAATAAAGGTAACAATGCATAAATTCAATGAAATCCTATATCGGAAATACAGTGAAAGATCGTGAATGAGCAAATATCACGTGGCATAGCCTAAAACACAAGGCATAACTGCTAAAAAAATCCTGTTGAAAAATTTTAAAACGAGAATGAGCCACCTTATCCGCATCTTCCTCTTAATGACTCAAGCTAGAACTTTGAAACAAATGGGCTTTTGTTCAAAAATGGAACGAGATACAGGTCGGTAACAAAAAATTTTAAAACTAAAATAATATCAAAAATAAAAGCATTGCAAAAAAGCACCAAAAAAATGATTAAGGAACTGTTTCGGCTTAATTCGAGAAATAAAATAAACCTTAAATCTTTAAATAAAACAATATTAATAGTGAATACTTTCTAAAAATTTTAATAGGCAAAAAAATTCTATATAGGTAGCTATGGTTAGCTCAAACAAATTTTTAGTAAAAAGCTCACCAAAATCTTCAAAGCGTTAGTGATCCTATAAATTCCATCGAAGATACCAACTTATGAAAACCTTAATCACTAAAAATCCTATGCATAACTTAAATCATTGAAAACAGGAGCATAAACAGGAGAAGCGTATTTACAGACCCGTAAAGAATCTGATCCAACAAATTATTGGCTGACAGGTGTTATTTTCAAACATAAAGACTTCTCGTGCCTTCTACGCAACTGTTGAACAAACTGAGAACAGAAGTAAAACGGAGCACCATTTGTAAATCTAGCTTTCTCTTTTAAAAAAGAAAAGCCAGAAGAATAATATTTAACAAGATTTAAGACAATACAAACGACATTTTTACTACCGCTGTCAGCATCTTCATCAAAGATAAGTAGGAAAATCAGATAAATTTTTACGGGCCCCACCGTAACCTACTGAGCGGGCTTTCGTATTCATTATTTTTCCTTTTTTCTCGCAGAGAAAGAGGTCCTGTAGTACTTAAAGGTGCAGGATTCTCACTTGCTTTTGGGGGAGAAGTACTTGAAGTTGGCCTTGCAACAGCACTTGTCATTTGTCTTTCGTCCCTATCCTGATTTCCAAAGTCCGACCCAAAATTACCAGCGGGTGGCCTACTGCAATTACAGGTAAAAAGATTGAACAAAATTTCTTTTTTGCAAATATTCATTTCACTACTCAGTATCGTATCTTATAAGCAAAATCTTAATCGAAGAGTTTTTGAAATGAAAAATGTAATACGAGGCTCACAAAAGAATAACTACAAGAAATAGTGAACTACCTTCCCAAGTTATGAATCTCCTGCGATGAGTTAAGTTGCGGCATCCAACTGTTTCCATAAGACCCCCGACGAGCATCATTGAAACCCCGGTCATCTTGCCGCGGAGGCGATCCGCGATAATGTGGTGACAAGCGATGATCCCTGCCCTGAGCATCTACATCGGGAACAACTGGAGAATAAAGCTGCTCAACACCCACTGAAGTAGTAGGCGTAGTACTAAAATATGCATTCTGCGCTGCACCATTTGCCTGCAAATCACAATAATAATACAATAAAAATGGTTTAAAAAATTACAAGCTTTCTCAAAGCAACTTCAGGCGTGATTAGTGCAAAACCAAAGTATAATGGTTATGTCAAGAACAAAGGCATCTAAGCAAAAAAGAATAACTCCATGCACCGTTTATAATGAGTCACAAAAACTTCAGAAACAAAGACTACATCAAAAAAAAAACTGTGAATATGCAGCACAAAATAATCATCAAAAATACCTGGTCATTAGGTCTCGAAGCTTCATATGGTTTTATAACAGCTAAACGAGGATCGGCTGCAGGACGCCTATCTGGCTGGCCACCTAAACGCTTCCGTGGATCGCGATTTGACGTGCGAGGATCAACAGGCTTAGCAGAACTAAAAATTTACCGAATTAGCTGATTGAATATTTCATGCAAACTAGTGATAAAATATAAGCAAAATTTAAACTACACTGCTTAATGGCTGAAGACCTCTACATCAGTTTCGATTGACTAAATAACGGCAATATTTGAATCAATTAACTACCTCAGGACCCCTTCTTTAGCAGGCCCACTTGCTGTCCCAGCCTGTTGTACAGCACTTGAAGTCACTTGTTGCGGCAAAGAAGCAGCGGCGCCCGGTTGTGAAGATTGCGCAGAAGAAGTTATCAGAGTGTTGGTGAATGCATCAAACTGATTTGCTAGAGACTTCTTAATCCGCGGGTCATTACGCAACCGTGCGTCGTTTAGCGATTTCTAAAAAATATTCAATGTCAGGTAAAAACGTGTGTAAACAAAGACGACGAAACATGCAGATGGCACGAAAATAGGATTCAAACTTTATCCAAAGTAAACCTGTAAGATGGATGGATCAATCGAAGTTGTACAAGGTATGTCATCCAACGGGTGAAGCTTCCACGTAATTGCTGAACTACTAGGAATCGTTGGCGCCTCCTTATTTTCCTGATCACCATCATTATACATCGGAGGACTTGCTGGGGAATCTGAATTAAATTGGTAATTGTGTGGTTTCCAAAATTGGCAGATATACTATTATAAAAAGCAGACATTTGCAAGAAATAACCATTTAAATCATCCAAGCCTTTGACTTTAGAAGTAATTCTTTCCAGCATCTTGTTTACATTGAAACCCCCATCATCGTCATCTTCAATAAGATCGTCCTTCGCCGTCTCCTGCTAAAAATGGAAACCTTCTATTCCCCTACCTCTCGAATTACCAGTGAATAAATTTCATAATAATAAAAAAAAAGCAAACTACCAAAAAAAAAGAGCTTACAGATGTTTGAGATGTTGTAGACGGAGCTGCAGCAGAAGCCGCAGCTGACACAGCCGCCATTGTCGCAGGATCAATAGGAGGAGGCATTGGAAGATTTGTAAGAGATGCAGCCAGAAGAGGATCAATCACTGCATTACCAGGACCAGTAATAACATGACGTGGAAAGAAAGGTGGAAAAGGCTGACGAGGGACAGCCATTCCAGGGGGCAGGACCAGTTGTGCCTGAGTAACAGCAACAGATGGCGTTCCCAAATTTGGCACTACAACTGCTGGAGGTGGAACCAAATTAGTTTGCATGCCATCAGAAGTGGTTGCTGATGGGATGAGAATAGGTGATGCCTCAGGATGGCCAGGTGAGGTATTAGATGGCCCTCCGGGCAAAAGTACACGTCTTTTCAAAGGCACCTGCGGAATAGCTATCCGCGATGCTAATTCGTCGTCTTTTAACATCTAAAAAATTCAGAAATGATAAAAATATTGTCCTTCATTATTAGGAGAAAAGAATGTATTTACAGATGATTAAAATTGATATAAAGCCAATTAAAATATTATATTTCTTCTTCCATTCCTAAACTGCTAATAATAAGTAATTCAGAGCTTCTAACTTAAAAAAGTTTTCTAAAACTAAAGAAGCTTTATCAGAGCAGAACAGGTACACAAGTAATACTGAATAAGAGGAGTAAAAAAACACTCTGCAGACCATACTGACAAACCTGTTCAAATATCGGACGAGTAAAATCATTTAATGGTTCATGAGAAAATTGACATTGGTCTTTAGTGCACTCTCCTTTGTGAAAAGCTTTACACGGATATTCTCCATGAAGTAAATTACAATGTAAATTTTTCTTGCAATAACCTTGTTGATAAAATTTGCACAGTTCAGCTTTCCGATGCGAATCTGCCGCATCATGAGAGTAAGCGCATTTGTCGCCCTGAATTAAAAAAGCAAATAAATTTGAAAAAAAAAAAACAACAACATGTCGAATCTTAGGCATCAGTAAAATAACAATAAAAAAAAACATACATCTCTGCAATAACCTTCTCGGAAAAATTTGCATATCTGACGTTCGAAGTGCCCTCCACGGAACCCTCGACCACGAAAACCACCTCGGTAGGGCGGAGAGTGACCTCGACATCGTTTAGAAGCAAAAGGTGGACTTGGTGAACGCCGACGCCTACAAGCAATACTATAAAAGACAACGACAGAATAAAGAAGTTACAATGATAACTTTCATATTTTTTAATTAAGCATACAACCTTCGGTCAAGACGTGGAGACGAACTGCGGTAGTCACTATCACCATACTCATTGACTAAATCTTGCCCAACTCCACGATGAAGTCCTTCCTCACGGATGACTCCCCAACGGTAATCCTAAAGCAAAAATACTCTTGAAAACCGATATTCTTCACTACCATAACAACTTACAAAGAAACAAAACTCGGTAAAAAAAGATGTACAAAGTAAAAACAAAAACTCTCTACCTTATCAGCCGAGTCACCATTTCTGGTTCTATAATCTTTATCCCCTCCACCTTCAATTGGTGATGATTTACCGTATCCATAGTATTCTTCATTTGCATCTATACTACCCGCCTTTGTCCGCTGACTCATGATATTTTTCCATGAATTTATAGCGTCCCCCTCTCTCCCCCGAACGCTCTGCAAAAAAATTCATTCTTAACAGGAAAAATGAGAAACATTAGAAGAAAAAGTTTCTCAACATGCAATTAATAAGAAAACAAGTCAATAACAGCACTAAAAAAAACTTTTTTCAGTCAGATGTAAGTAAAAATCAAAAATTTTGAAAACTAAAAATTTAGACCCCTTAATCACCTCCCCCCATCTATCCACACTTTGTAAATTTTCTCAAAATTAAAACTGTTACTATAGATTACATAGTAACATTTTTGGTGATATTTCACACCAGTTAACAATTCTGCTACGTATGCTGCTATTTCTTTTCATTGGTATATGACATATTGATACTGCTATTTTCTGCAAGTTCTTTTTCCATTGTATTCTATTCTTTTTTCGCTTTCCGTTTTCTATTAATCTCCTTCAGTCTTGGATTACTGTGCATTATTATGCATAATAGTTTGTTTTTTTTTTCTTTTTTTCCAAATGTTGTTTATTTGCGTACCACAACTTCCTCACGATCAAAGTCTCGGGGCTTCCGAACTGGAATAACTGCTGTTGGAGGTACCAAAGCAGGTGTTGGCTGCACAGCCGCACTTGGCTCGGCCATTGTTGCATCTAAAAGTCATATGAAGCACGTCAATGGACCGCAAAACGATTTTAAACGAAATCTCTAGTGATAGTTTTTCAAATGGAATATAAACTAAACCCTAATTCAGTGCACCAAAAATGGACTCAAGTTTTGAATAAAACAATTTGAAATATATCATTTTAAATGACCAATTTAAAATAATGAGGCTAAAAAAAAAATGAATGGTCAAATGTCATTTGTTTAAGAAAAGTAACAAAAGAGAAATGAAAAGGAACTTAGATTACCATCTGCAAATCAAGTGGGAAAATCATACTTTGAAACAACACTAACTAATACTTAATCTAATCTTTTCGGCCGTACCCATCAAAAAACAATGACCAAACTACCTTCCACTAATCAATTAAGTTACAATCACGCTACGAGCTAATCCCAGTAAATCTGCTCAAAGGCTAAACCAATAAATAAGAAGTGGTGGTCACCAGTGAAAAAATTTTTTTGCTAGTAATCTCTTAGCGTCTGTTGATATACAAAACTGGCCACACCAATCATTGTTTCTGCAGAATTTTAGTTGCTGTGGCTTCCCCTCAAAGACAACAAAGTTTAAAATCAATGAATCTTCAATTTAACCATTTTGCAAGTTTTTGTTTCCCATTCAATTCATTTTCCTTCTATTTTTATGCATAATTTAACAGTTATTTGCCTTTCGTGTCGTCATCGTCGCATATTTCGCCTTCCTCAGGCAATTCACCTTCTTCCATTTCATCATTATTTTCTTCTGGATTCTTTTTTCCTTCAGACATTTCCTCAGAATTCAAAGTTTCGATTCCAATTGCTGTCCTCATTACATTAAGCATAACTTCTCATTCCTAAGCATTCAGAGGTTTGACATTTTCAATTAGAGCAGAAGATAAACATCAGCGAATTACCCGGTCATAACAATTATTCCAAGAAAATAAAAAAAATAAAGAGAAGAAAACAACTTCCTAAGTATACAAATCTTTGACACTCTAGACTTCCCAAAAATCCTCATCCTGACGCTTTCTTTTTTAACCTTTCTTTTTTTTTTTCTTTTGCAATTGCACGACACACTTCCGACCACACACTTTTCAAACTCCTATCCCCATCACTTTTCCCTTTCCTTAATCGTACACTTCAAAACTAAGTAAATTTTTCCAAATGGTCAACAAGCAAAAAACATATGCAGTTTGTTAATCAAAAAATTACGCTACGAAACCAACATTTTTAAATAATGCAACCCAATATTCCCTCTAATCGCTTCATTCTTTTTTTTTTTTTTTTTCAAATCATAACCAACCCCAACCGATCGACGACAACAAATAATGGCAATAGCAAGAACAACAATAACGATCACCACTACCATCACATCATTGCCACCACTATTATAGCAGTGACGTGAACTACACAGTCTCAGTCACTCCGTTCAAATAAATAATGCCCAAAAAATTACCCCGTTCACTTAGAGCCCTCATAACTGACTATCTGTGTATAGTTCAAATGCTGATAAATGGTGCTGTGAACGTATTGAGCGAAAAAAACTAATAATAATAATAAACAAAACAAATAAAACGGAGAAAAATAAGAAAAAAAATTCGAAACTCTTGGTGAACAAAAAAAAAAAAAAAAAAAAAATGTTAAAAACCGACCAGACAAATCATATTTGGTTTAGTTAGATCTGTTACTCTTCTTGCAAAAAGTTCAAGGTTTCAGAGTCGAAACAAAAGCAATTGTAAGGAAAGTTTTTTCGGCAAACAATGCTGTCGCGAAGTTCGATCATTCTTCAGACTAATTTCGTTACACTTTCAAATGCAAATTGTAAATGGATTCAGTAGAGAACAAGGTAGGCATTTTCTGCTTGCCGCATCAGTTACAGATCCAATGCCGATCCAGCGATCGGTACAAGTATAGTAGTGATGTGATGTGCGTGAAGTGTGAAGTTTTTGCTGAATGCTATTTTTGTCCCTGTAATTTGTATCTGCGTCTTCTGTTTCTGCATACGTAGTATAGAGGTAATTGCAATGAACCACTTAACTAAAAAAGGACTAAATAAGAGGTGGGGAAAAAAGTACTGAAAAAACAATTACTTTCCTCGCTTCCTTAAAAGCAAAAAGTCTAGCTCCATCTTGAGAAAAATAATTTTTTTACGCATTTTGAATGTTTTTTAAGAATCCTAAACCCTTCCAAAGTTTGTAAACGAAACTGACTTAAACCAAAGATCCCTGCATAATAAAGTTAGAGAGTGAGAGCATAAGAGCGACAATGAAAAAGAAAAAACTAGTGAGTTTTTCTTCGACATTATCGAAAAGCGTTAATGCTCGTCCGCACACCTGACATGATATAAAAGCCTGCAAATTCAAGCAGATTAATCATTGAAATACTTTCGCATGGCGAATCAAAACATCAGCTTTTGAGTTCCGCTTTTATTTACTTAAATGCCGCTTCCCCCTCTCTTCTTTCCCCAATTCGTCCCTCCTGTTAAACATACTACATTAAACGAACCTCCAATCCCCCCTTCCCAAAAAGAAAAAAGGGGCACCTCGAACGCCTCAGAACTGTAAATACGCACAAAGAATATTTTAAAACGCCTCTTATACCAAAAAGTTTCTGACGCTGAAAACCCAACCGAATATGCAACAAAAGTTAAATTAAGGACCTCTGAAAACATCATAATAGAAAAATTTCTGACACTCGCAAATTATAATAATCTTGTAAAACCTAATACCTCAATATCTCATAATTTTAAAAAAAAACTTGGCTAAAAAAAACAAAAAAGCCTGGTTAGTTGCCAGCAAATTGATATCAACTCTGCATAATGAAGTTAATTGATGCACTGCTTAGTGAATAAACGCAAAAACAGTAAAACAAGAGCAAAAACTGTTTTTTCTTTTCACTGATCCTGTCCATAATCAATAGATTTAGCTGCTAAATTTATCAAACAATCAAGTAAAACCGTAACTTCTCACTTGTGTGCTTCCTAATTTAATTTTTGTCCAGTTTTCTGCTACTGATGATACTGTTGCTGTTTAATATTGATGCTACTGCTGTTGATGATAATGCTGCTGCTGCTTGCTTGATGACTCTTCAAATGTTCACGTAATCCTACTCAGACCGGCGAAAGATGAAACAGCAGTCAAGTCGGCCTCGTGTTTTTGTGACAGAAAAAAGACAAAAACAATTTAACGCGCACATTACTAAGACCAATTGAAGAACTTGTTTTTGTAGCTCGAGAAAGAATCGATAATAGTAACTGACTGATTGACCATTTTAGTTTATGACCAAAACTGCACTCCCTTTCTCTCTGCATGTCTGCCCACCCACAGATTTTCTCACTCTCCCCTCTGTCCTTTTCCCAGTAACCACTACGCTTCAACTCAATGACATTTCCAACCGAAAATACTAGACGACTTCACCTCTAAAAAGATATCTCAGAACATTGAAGCCCGTGAAAATTAAAGGAAAGAAAGCAAAGAATGTCGGAAGAAAAACAGAGGAAAACACCCGAAGACTGATCGACTGAAAACTAATTACTTGAGCAAAAAAAATTCAAACGTTTCGACTACATCTTTTTCAACACCCCACTGGGACACATCCTTCAGCTAACAAAACCCAAAGTTTTTCAACTCGTTGCCCTTGTTGTCAGTTACTTCTATCAGAAACCTATTTCAGAATTTTTAACAACGAAAAAAATTCTTGTTACCCACCCTGTCCTCAGCAATTTCGAGCTATATTAACTACTGAAACTTCTCATCCGCCTTTACAGATGTTTCAGCACGTAAACAGCAGCTTCAACTACGGACAGTTCAGCAAGAAAAAAAGAACGATACAGTCAGTCACCATAGAAATTAGTGCCAAAAGTTTCTAAGAAAAGTTCGTTAGCCACCAAAATTCTCTCTTTGAATTACTTATAATTCAAAAATAACAACTTCAATGCACTGATTAATGGTCTAAATGTTTAAAAGCCTCTGAAATTGTTCAAGTTACAGAAGTACAACAAAAACTAATTCTTTTTTCTCTTCCATTACAAAAAAAAGAGCCGTCTAGACCTTAACAAACTACTGAGAGTAAAAAAATATAAGAAATAAATGAGAATGAAAAAACGCATCAAAGAAAAACTTTTATCAGATCCTAAAGTAGTAGATTTTTTTGAAGTATACCCGTATTCCAATGCAAGCTTGCAGTATGCCCTCCGAAGAAGTATTTGGAATTTTACACGCTTCTCTTTCTCCGTTTCCTTTTTTCCTTTGGTTGGCTTAAAAAGCTTTACTTCTTTTAAGCCAAAAACCTGAATGTTGACTGAAGTCGATTGTTGTCGACACACTGAAGGAACTATTCCAAGCAAACTAACTATAGAAGTGGAGGAATATGATGAAAAATAAAGGTTAGCGGAAAAAACTCCAAATGTTTTTTTTTTTTCTTTTGATAATATAAGCCACCAACAACACACACATCACCACCTTTTGTTGCATTAGATCACCACAACTGCACAACTTTGGGAAATTTTTGGAAATTATACGGGGATATATATCTAAGTATTCCAGTATATATATACATATATATATATATATACACATTTGAGAAACACTTCTATACGTTGAAGCGTGTGTACCGCGTAATAGGAGTCCCAACAATGTAAATGCTGCCGCTCTGCGTCCACTGACTGCGTTCGCCTGACCGACCATTCTGCACATCTAACCGTCTGCTAGCCTGGTCTATTGTCATTTACTCTCGCTTAGCGTCGACAACTAAGTCTCACGCTGCCTGGCACTCTTGTCGAATAAGTGACGAAAGACAGTGTCAAGCGACTAGAATGCGATTTTGAAGAGATCTGCACCCTCGTTTTCTCCCGTTTCTTTCGCCACACTCTCTTTAGATTAATACATGTGAGAAGCACACAAAGTGCGCAAATTTGCGTCAATCAACCTGCCACTTCAAAGAACACTTTTAGAAGAGGAAAAACAACAATGAGGGAGATCTCAGAGAAAGAAACAGTCTAAAAAAGT